TATGCCTTGACGTTCCTTCGTCTTCGTCTAAATTGTTCATTCTTGGTTCATTCTTGGAAGTAATTAAAACTTTAACTATTTATTTCTTCATCTATCCGTCCTTCTATCTATATTCAATCTGTGGCGTTGTCCATTTATCCTTTCGATCGAAAGCCGTTTCTATCACTTCGTCTTTTTAAACTTTCGCCTATCTATCTCTGCCTGCCTATCCATCAATGTATCTATCGGTGCCATCATCTACTTATTTCCTTGTCGATCCGTGCTTTCCTCTTTCCATTGATGCGTAAGCTTGCCCATAGGTGCCTTCCTCTGCCTTTCTCTTTATTTATCAATTCCTTCCTCTTGCTACGCCTCTTAATAAAATGGGGATGATTGAGTTTAGTTCACCTTCTGCTTTGGCGAAGACTGAATAGGAAATGGATTTGCATAAAATGTAATACTTGTAATTATATCAACTAGGACCAGACATTGTAATATGGAATAAAAAGAGAGACCAGCAATGGAAGCTCCTTCTTTGAGCTATAATTTAACTTTAACTTATAGTTAAGCTTACAGTTAGTTAGAAAAGCACTATGGTTCCACAAATTTGGGCAAATGAATTTTAAAAGCTTTGCCTAGTGCGTGCTACACTCTGTCAAGTGTCACCCACGTACGCCTGCACTTTGCATAAAACGCAGTTGTCCCTTCTGACTGCAAAATGGCTTTTTCTTTTTTGCTTTCCTTTTTTGAATCTTAATAACTTAATGTGATGAAGCAACTCCGCGTAAGAGCGATTTCAGTTGCTTGCTTCATCTAATAAATATTCTCTGAATTAAAAAAAAAAAAATAATTCACTTAGTTTGTACGCATAATGTGGAGCTACATTTATTTACTTTTTTGTATGCCTGTGTGCCCATAAATTCGAGAATAAGAAGTGAAGGTACACGACTAAAGGGATGTATTCTCCTTTCCTCCCATCAAAAGTGAAAAAGGTAAGCAGGCTGCTAAATAGGCCGACATGTATGTTTCTATTAAGACAGACAAGTAACTTTTACAAGACAAATGATGATGACTGTAATGATGCTCTCAAAGGTGCCTTAAGTCATGAACGAGTTGTTGTTGAAAACATACATATATATATATATATATATATATACACAGAAGGAAAAGAAAAAAAGAAAAGCACAATCATACTTAAAACTTGTATACAAATACACAAACACATATGCAAGCAGGTAAATAAGATAGTTGAGCCACAAAATGAAATGCAATGTCAAGCTGTGTGTGTGTGTGTGTGTGTGTGTGTGTGTTTAGATAGATGCATGTAAGCGTGCGAAACTGAGTAATAAGAAAAAGTTAAGAATTGAAAATTGAAACTGTTGGCAGCTGTGACACAGCAACCAAACAACACAGATTTGTTGCATTTAATGTCATTTCTCTGCCACTCGTCTGGCACTGGCTGTTGTTGCATTCATAGAGGGAATCGACAAACACGGACAATAAGAAAAAATATCGTATATGTGCGAATACATGGACTTTGATACTTAGATACATACTTAGATTCAATATATATACATACATACATACATACATACATACGTATGTAAATATATATGTATAAATGTTCATTTCTATGTCTGTGCAAAACGAACGGATGTTAAACTAATGCACACTTAAATAAGTTGATTTTGTGTAAAGAAAATGAAGAAAAAAAAAAAAAAAAAACAGGTAAAATGAATTTCTCGAAACATTTTTATATCTATAGTATTGCAGTTGGGTGTGTGCGTGCAGTAGTGAACAATGATATTACATGCGTTTATATGCCAGAATTTTTAGGTTTGACAATAAAACTCACATGTCGACATTTATAGAACAATTTCGAAACATGGCAACAGACATTAATGTACATCTAGCTATATAACTGTATATTATTATGCCAGTGAGATATACAGTTTTATGTCAATTAGAAAAGAAAGAAATGAAAACAACAAAAAATTGTGAAAGCAGAGCAAACCGAATAGAGAAAGAATATAAAGAAAAAAAAAAAAAAAAAAAAAGAAACGTAAGAAAAAGTCATGTTTGTCGTTTGTATGTAAGTTAAGGGTGTGTTTGTATGTGTGATTATGTTTGGTTTGTGGTATGAACTGAACATGACTTACAAAGACTTAATGTACATATAAATGTCATGTCAACGGGGCTTATACTGTACGCACACATAAGCTAATGATCTAAATGTAAAGAATGTATCGCAATAAGTGACAATAGGACAACAATTCTTTTTAATTTACTTCACACACACACACACACACACACACACATACCCGAAAGAAAGATGGTAATATAATGCTAAGCGAGGCCAAGTGTGTCCCTTCGTAAGTTCATTCATTTGTTACCGCGAAACGTGAAAGTCGTAAAACGCGAGGTAAGAAGTTGAAAATTACAAGAAATATTTTTGGTTTAGTGATAAAACAAACAATCCATAAAATAATTATCGTTCGCCTGGAAGCATGCTTATATTATCCTAATATTATTATTGGAAATTATTTCGGTTATATGCGATTATATTCTAGGATAAGAAGAAGGATCAGAGCGAGCAACTAAGATTTTCATCTTTTTTTTTTTTTTTTTTTTTTTTTAATCGGTATACTATATAGTTCGTTTAGTAGCTAATATAAAGGTGAACGTTAGCAAAAAAAAAAAATTCCATTTAAGTTACGAGTAGTATTTGAAATCCACTCACTCTGATTTCTTTGGTCGGGGATGCGGTCGGTGTTTTTTCCCCGATTCTTTCTTTTATTAAATTAATTCATTTAATTTTTGGCAAACTTAATAATTTTTATAAAAATCTTAAATAATATTTATATACACACATATATATATATATATATATATATATATATATATATTGTTCAATTTCTGGGCCAATATGAATATAAAGTGAAAACATTTGTGTTTGTTTTCCGCGTTTTTATATGCTTATATACAAGCACATATATATGCAAATCCGTAAATGCATATATATACACACATACAGCTTGAAGCTTACTTTAAAGTATAACATCTCGAGGTCGCGAAATGACAAATAAAGGAAATGAATTAGGCGGAGAACCGGAAAGCAAAACAAAATTGTTATCAATGCCTAGGTATAAGATGTCAAGGTTGAAACGCTTTATAAACATTTCGCTCAGATGTCTTGTTGCTGCTTTCACATCATCTTTCTCTTGTCTTTGTCGTATGCAAAAATTTAAACAAAAAAAATTGAAAAAAAGTCTCGAAATTAATTAGGAAATAGCGAAAGTGTGCAAGAAATATGAAGGTAAACATTAAAAGCCCTCTTTTTTTTTGTCTTTCTGGTTATATGTGAGCTAAAGTAACTCTATCTATGCGTCTACGTTGACGATCGAATGCGATATGCGAGAGAGTCTGGCTTCTTTATCTAACTAAAAAGGGAATATTTTTTATGTTCAATATATTCACAATCACTTTCAAGTATAACTAACACTATTACACTTGCAACTTATTGACGTAACAGATCTAAATACATGGTTGCGTGTATTATAATGAAAACTTAAAAATTTCATTCAAAATCGACTAACCCCTAGTTATATAGGGAAAGTAATTTGCGTTCGCACAACACATCTCCACACTTATGGAAGGGGACTTTTCAACAAGATACGTGACATTAAATTAATAGGAAGATTTTGATCAGCGGCTACTGCAGGTAAAAATGATAAAGAAATGGAAATGGGAAATGGGAAATATCAGTGCACCAGTGCATATAACGATTAAATTCGATCATTTTGACCTTTCCCTGCATAAAATAAGAGTTTTCCATGTAATTTTATTGATTTATTCAGCGTATGCCGACGTTAATCACATGGAGCGCTCAAAGTTCTTCTTCCTCTAAATGCATTGCTTTTGTTGTTTGAAGAAATCTCCAGGCGAGGCTCACCAAACATCTTTAGAAGCATATGATGATGCCCCGCCATCATATCCCAATAGTCGGTTTTTGTGTTGACGACACGAATTGACTGAAAATGCCATTTTTGTCCACGTGTTGCAAGAGTGGTCCAGGATACACAAGACAGGGAAGGTCTGCTACACCCAGCGGTTCCGCAAAGTTGAAGAAGTACGAAAATGGGTCGATAATTGGATAAAAATTCTCTAAATTAATGCAAGCACCTAATAATTATTAATAGTCATTGGCTTGAGAGATGCGGCGTCTTGCAGGAAAAACCCATTGTTCACATCCACTCGTAACCTCTATTTTAAATCGCTTATTGCCCAAGAGACCAATGACTTTGCACCCAAAAAATTCTAATTTTGTCTCTGCCCATGGCAACGGTATTCTTCTTAAGCCAAGCCTAAACTCTTGTTCGCCGGTGAAGACCGTTTCCAGGGATCACCACGAGGAAGTGAGAGTTTCGGCATATCTATGCTCCCCTGAAAGCATAGTTTATCTACAATGGGTTCATCGTTCATCGATAAAAATATATCTGCCCCGGGATAATCTTTTCTAAAAGAGGTAATTGCCTAGAAACGGACCTCCGTAGCCGATTTTCAGAGGCGCTTTTTTCAAGCATTTGAAGACTTTTCAAAAGCTTAGTGCGTTAACTACGTAAGACTCAAATAATATAATGTATTATGTGGTGGGTGGTGCTCGATTATAAGCTGGATTCTAATTGGGGTAACCTTAGTTACGGTATCATGACACTTTTTTTAAATTAATATTTTATTTTGTTTTAATTTTAAAAGATTTTCGTTCCAGATTATTAAAGCTAGGACTATAAAAATGCCAAAATTTCGTGTAGTTCTCGCACATGTGAGTTCACCAACGAACGTTTATATAGAAAAATACAATTTTACACAGACTGACGTCTTTGCGACCTCATTGTTACCATTTCGTTTCTTTGTCAGGGATCACTACATGTAGAAAACGAAGTTCATCTATCCTCATTTTTGCGCTGATAATGATTGGCTTACATATATATTCGTATTTAGCAGACTTAACGTTTTTCCGCCTAATTAATGTCTTCAGTACTTGTAAACTTTTCGTCGTCGTCCGATGTCAATGTAACCTCAGAAGATTCCGATGATGTGATTAGTTTTCTGTCACTTATCTCTTCTTCAGGCTCCTGCTCCACTGCAGATTCCTTTTGCAATTCGGTAACTGCTGGCAACTCTCCCGATTCCAAAACAACTGTATTTCTGCCTTTAATGAATGAAACGAATCTATTGTTTCTGGCCGCTGGTATATCTTCGGGACCAAGCGACTGGATAGTGGCACGAGTAGTGGCCGAACGGGGTTCGCCATAATCCATAATCTTTACTTCAGGTTTTGCTTTATTTTTGGGATTGTTAGTCCCTGCGACTTCCTCTCCAGATTGTCCTTTCGTCTTCCCGAGCTTCACAATTGCGTTTTTTTTTTTTAACTGCTTAGCTTGAGAACGTTTCAAACGGTAGAAATCTTCACGTTCCAGTTCGTCTAATTCGTCACGTATATAAGTGACCGTATTTTGAAAGCGAGGTATAACCACATAATCTAAACCGTTGACTCGCATATTGGTCGAACGCACAGTTTCACTTAGAATTTTAACATTATACTTCAGCGAAGCTACAGCCACAAGAATTTTAAGAGCTTCTTGAAATTTTAATCTCGTTATTTCTACTTGTCGACCACCAGTTGCAAGTCCAGTAAATGGAATCGCAGCAGCTGTAGTTCGTATAACCAACTGTAATTGCGGTACGGACGTTCCAACGATTTTATTTTGTTTAATGCGTATGTACGCATCCGCTCGATCGGGAGCTACTAAGGCGGCTGGCTTAAAATCGGTGTTTAAAAAATTGGCTTTCGTAAGCGAGAAAATCGCTTCTCTCATAGCAGCATCCATTTGCTCGAGATTTTTATCCAATTCTGTGCTCATTTCCCTTAAAAACAATTCCAGGGCATCTCGTTTACGCTTGAGCAGACTTAAACCTTTAACAGCACTGGCGGCACGCTGCTTCGTCGAAACTAAGTTTGCTCGCGACGGAAAAAGATTGATCCGATCTTTTTGGGCCATTTTTTTTTTTTTGTTTTTTCTCTTAACTTTTTAATTTTGAATTTTTAGGGATTGCTGTGAAAACTTGTGATGATAGAGCGGACAAAAGGTAAAGTTTCCATAAACTCAAAAATACCCAAAAAGAATTTCTGTTTACAAGTGAAGTTGACAAGTGAATCGGTCAGAAAATGGACAAATTGCAGAGATGCCAAGATAACTCTATCCTTTAAGCAAATAATTTAATTATCAATTTTGTAATTTTGAATTCGCTTTTAAATTCGAATGGATTTTTGAGTTCGTCAATTTCGGGATGCGCTTTATTGAATCGATTCGCTTGAATGCTTGCTTGCTTCGCGCATGCAAATGCACTTGACGATGACCTCTGAGCGTGCCGGCAAAGATAATTGTTGGCCAATTTATTGTTTCTTCTTTGTTTCGCATCAGATTTTGCTTTGCCTCGAATTCGATTTTTCAATTAATCTCTTCAACAATCAACGAACCATAATAAGTGAAAATTTCAATAGTAAACGTTTCGATTGAAGCAAAGGGCAAAACAAAAAAGTCAGTCAAAGTCTTGCTGTTGACATGATATTAAATTAAGCTACATTGCTTGGAGAACGCAACACTACTGTTAGTAAGTGCTTGGTATCCGTTAAGTACGTATCCCTAAAAGCAAACGAAACTAAGTTACTTTAAACGATCCAAATCGAGTCAAGATTGATATGGGGGGGGTCTTTATGCATAACGGCCAGAACAACTATATTATGAATAAGTGGCGTTTTGACTTTCTCCGTATGAGATTGGCCGCCACTAGAGTATACTGAATATCCTGATAAATTCATGGGAGATTTTTTTTGCACAAAATATAACTTTATTAATACCCAGAGCTACAAATGCTAATCTATTGCATATTAAATTTTAATCAGATAACGGAGTCAGTGCATTGTTTGGTGTTTTCGTTATTGGTGGTATTTGTGCTTGTGCTTGTGCTTGTGCATGTGCTGATGATGATGCTGAAGTTGATGCTGTACGCTGACATATTTTGCAGATAATGCGTAAGTGTTATCTGCCTGTTACATCAGTCGAAATAATAGCCTGGATTACATTACGTTAGCCTCAAACAAGCATAAATAAATCGATTAAATTTACAGCAACAATAAAAGCAATGTTTTATTAATTGATCGGAAATTTAAGTAAACATGCGTGCTTACGATAGATACGCATATATATATATATGTGTGACATTTTATTGCCAATAATTAATCATTTTTGTTGTCTAGTACGATAATAGCGCTTAAATAGAATTCTTTTAGTGCAATGTTACGATATGCATACATACGCATATATGAACATATATTTACATAGAAGATAGCAGAAGATAAAGTTTGCAGCGTTTTTTTTTTATAGATGAATTTATGGTTATATACTGCGGACTACTTGAGAGGTGGAAAATGCTTTTATTTTCTTTTAAAAAGCAAACCGAAGAAAATGAATTTGTAATACTCTATAATAATTCGGGGGCGTGGTTGACTTACATATTTGAAAATTTTTATCTATGCAACTATTTTCGCATTCATGAATAACGAGCAAAAGCAGCAGTGTTGTCAGCTTTGGTTGCATTGCAGCTGTGCTTTTTCACCAATTAGACCGATTTACAATAATAACCTACGTGCGAGCACTATCATTGCTTTCACCCAATTTGAAGCCGATATTCTTAATTTTCGCGTTTTTACCGCAATCATACGCAAGATGACCACACGTGCATGGACGGACGAATCGATTCACAACTTGATGGTGATCAAGCATATATATACTTTATAGAATCTCTAAAACTGCCTTCTGGTGGTTGCAAACGTTTTGACAAGGCTAAATGTACCTCCACTCTTCGATGATTAAACTTACATCAGAAAGTTTCGAAAAAGTTAATTGTATATCTAGCGTAACCTACTGCATCTTTAAGAACTCTGACTAATATTTTTTGCTATAGTACAATATGGTAAAACTAGCATAGAATACAGTAAGTATAGTACAGTATAGCGCAGTATAGTCTAATAGAGTACAATAAGCATAATACATAGCAAGGTGTAAATATAGCGCACTGTGGCTATGATGTAGTGTATAGTACAATGTAGTCCAAGTATCGTCAATTATAACATAAGTAAAATATGATACATGTATAGAGCAGTAGAGTGTTAGTATAGTAATTCACAATACTATAACAAGAGTACCAAGTGTATGGTAGTGCAGTACAAGTATTATATAATATGGTGTAGCATTGTTCAGTATGGCATTACAACAGCATAGTAGAGCCTAGCGTAGATGTAGCATAGTATAATATAGGAATAGCATTTTATGGGATATTGCGGGATAATCACAGCATAGCAGTAGAGCATAGCATTTGCAAAGTGTAGCGTAATGCAACATAAAATTACATCGAAGTATACCATAGTTGTAATGCACCATAGCATAGCATAGTAAAACATAAAAATAGTAAAGTACAATGTAACATAGTGTGACGTAGTTAAGTGCAGTATATTATAGTAGATTATATGTAGTATATAGTACAGCGTAGTATTACGATTTGCTCTTTTTTCGAGAACAAAAAATTGAGACTTTGCATAAGTACTCTTAATTAAATCCTTTTTGTCTACATTTTGCACATCTACGTTGGCAACAACTTTCAGAACGTGAAGAACGTGAAAGTTGTGAACTATAGGTCAAAGAAATACTGATTCTCAAATTGGGAATTTTCAATAAGTTTTGACGCTGATCGAATATGTAATTTAGAATATCTCACTCATTTTTCTGGATGATGCCGTCTTCTACTTTGCACTTGTTAACACATACGCACAGATCAATGTTAGCCTTGGGGGGAATTGTGAACAATCCTTAAGAGCTTATTATTTTTATTATGGCTGAGTGGTGTCTCAATTATAAATTTAATCCTGACGAGCGTTTACATTAAACAATAATTTTATGAGTGGTCATCTGGTAAGGTATTTGTTACACCGTCAAGTGTCAGCTTCATTTTTGAATTTTTTTGCGCTTTTCAAACTTCAAGTCCTGATTTTGAAATCAAATTTTTATGTTGAACAACGGTATCCATTCAATCTGAAAGGTGTAACAAAAAATCTGAAGAGCTTAATACATCCGCTAATATATAAGGTTCAGGGGTTTATGTAAACATAAAAAGAGAAACTAAAATAAATAAATAAAAAGAAAAACAAAATCCTCACAAAAATGTAAGAGGATTAAAATATTTTCCTTTGAAAAGTTTATAACAAAAAAAAAAAAAATTTTTTTTTTCGTAGTTTTATTTATTATATTACGTACGTAGGAGATAAGTTTATTTTATTTCGATAAAAATTTATGTAAGGCTTTATACTGTTGCTCACGTCATTATTCGTGTGTGCATGCATATACAGCACAGCTCTTTTAAGTCGTTTCCGGGTAAATATTGAAAATATTTTAAGGCTATTATATATGATAGTGTTACGATTTCGTTTATGATGCATATGTCGAGTAATAGTATTAATCCGTCTTATCTGAAACGTTTAAAAGCGAAACATAAAATATTTAAGTTACCAACACATTAATCCCCATAACCTTTGCCATATGTTATGTAGCGATGCATAATTGTTTAAAATTTTTTGACTAAAGCTTGAAAGAACGAACTTTCAATGCTATGAAAACCCCCTCATTTGCTTAAATTTGTTAAGAGGCAACACTTGAAAAGGGTTGTTAAGCGACCGGAACAGAGAATGGTTTAAAAAATTGTCGAACAAAGTCGTGTTGATATGATCTTAAAATTCTGGGACTAATAGTAAAATGTATTCCGTTAGACTTTATACAAATCTAAGCAGGCTTACAATATTTTTCATATCGTACGCTAAAGACATTTTAACTCCCAGCATCTGTTTATATCACCTACCCATGGATAACGTGAAACGTTTGCTTCACCCAGAAGGAAGCTTTAGATAACGCAGCAAGTATATATTATATATTGCGAACCGGTATCAAATTTGTAATCCACCTAAGCATGTTCGTTTGTCCATCAGCCCGCCTATGGCGAACATTCTTCGGACAAGAAAAACAAAAGCTATCGGGTTCAAACGCCAAAAAAAAAACCTTTGAAAGTTCTTGCACTGATAACCAAAATGGCCCAAATAGATGAAAGGAAACGCCTACAGTGCCTCGCATGAGCTCTGAATAATTTTCCTTCTCCTAAGGTTTTTGTCAATTATTCATAGGGATTTCCACTGTGAAGACGTTTCCGTCTCTTTTCTAAAGGATGGGTTAGCTCAGCGGGCCAGGGTAATGGAAACGTACTAGAAATTTGTATTTTGCAGGAACCTTTATTTTCTATTTCTCTTATTACACTTTCCTTTCAAACGCGTCCCTACAAATCTACGACCAGAACTGCACTTCATTAGTCGGCGACTCAAACTCAACTAACTTAACTTATCCTTAACCTACGCTTATGTGGCCTATTCTATTCTTATCCCATCTTAATTTATTCCTATTCTATCTTAATCTATTTTTATCCTATGTCTATCCTCTTCTTATACTACGCCTATCCTACTCTTATCCTATCTTACTCTTTAGCACTCCTCTCTCCCCAGCCAGAGACGGAGAACCCGTGAGGCCAAAACAAGGGACGACTTTGGGTCCTCACACCACGTATGCTCTACAAAATTGAGCAAAATCAGCCAGAGAATGGAAATTTAATTTTTTCTTTATAATTTCCCATCTTCCTTACCATAAAATTGGTGGGTAGAAGCGATACGGTCACAGACATAATACCTATAATTTTCTTACTTATTTAATTCATCTATGTTTCCAGATTGAAATTAATAAATTAGTGATTTTAATTTTATCTAAAAATATCAATTCATCTCTCAAGTGGAACGATATGACGAAATCGTTGTAATCACCTTACGAATATTGCATCAATCGAATCATTTGTTGACACAGTCCCGATATTTTCCACCTTGTGCCGTAATTATATAATATTTTAAAGC